AGTGTGTGTCTGAGTGAGTGTGTAAGGTGCTGTGTGCTGTTGGCTTTTATACCCCTCGCAGCTTGTGTTTCCAGGCCCTACAAGCTTCCAGTTCCGGTTCGCAAGCTGGCATAGGGACGTTTGTTGGCCTGTGCCGTGTGTACCTCGTAAACTTCCTGGGAGCGTCTGGCTCAGGAGTCTGTCCCATTGTGTCCCCAGGGGAGCGGGAGGAGGTTGGCGTGATTCCAGCCCTGGTTCTCGGAGCAGGGGAGGGTGGGTGTCGGGGTGGGCGGTGCCTCGGACCCCCTTGGGTGTGCTGGGCATCGTCCTGTCACCTGCCAGGGCGGCCCCGGGCCATCACTCACCTCGCCGGCAGGCGGCATTAGGAAGTTCCCCTCTCGTCAAACACCCCATCCCGTGGGGCGCAGGGATGCTGCCCCCTGTGAGGAGGACCCGCAGTCAGGTCACTCAGTGGCGTCCCAGGGCCATCAAAGGACTGCTCTCTGCTTCCTGCCTGTGTGTCCACTGTCCCCCTGTCCATGCACTTGGAAGGCCACAGGACCATGTATTTAGGGCAAAATCGCGTGCGCTGCAAACAACGCCAGCCTCCTGGGCCGTGGTTCCCATGCGTGGGCCACACGGAGCACCCATGCTGGACTCGGAGTGGGTCACAGCCCCCACGTCTCCCTCTCGCGCAGCCCCCTGTGTTTGGATGGCCCGGCTCCTCCTCCAAGGCAGCCCCTGTCGGCCTTTCCCAGCACCCTGCTGGCCGGATACCCCACCCGCCTCCCCACAGGACACAGACTGCCCGCAGGGTCGCACAGCCCACAGGAAGCCATGGGACGAAGCTGTGGATGGCGTCTCCCTCAGCCTCGTCCCCCGGGACCCAGCCTCCTGTCAGGAAGCAGCCACTCACCCACTTAGCCGCGGTCTCTGACCATGTACGCACGTGCGCACGGGCAGCGCATTCCCGTGACCCACAGGATTGTGTTGTACAAAGTCGCACAGACACTGGATAGTAAATGCTGTGAACAGTGAAGCATCGCTCCCAAGGAGATACAGGGCTGGGTTTCTGCGGGCCTCTGCTCACTGCATTCTCATCAGCCAGGCTCAGTGCTCGTGCGGACGGCTGCGCACGTCCACCCTGACCCCGCGAGCAGGGCGCGTGCTGATCTGGGGCCGCAAACAGATGTGAGTGAGCGGGCGAGTTCACACATAAGGAGCCCTCGGATGCCGGGGCCGGCCTCCCCCTCCCCTCGCCTCTCTCTCTGCCTGACTCACCTACCTCTCAGTCACTTCCCATTGACCTGTGGATCTACAAGTCTAGTTCCTGTTCCCTCTCTCTGTTGGTACGTCTATGTACACGTAATGTCTTTGTGTGTGTAAGTTTTTAAAATGCAAACTACATCACATTCTACACACTGTGTTTTTAAACGCAGCCCAGTGGGGAGCTCCTTCCCTGGGAATGTGTAAAGGATTCCCCCTCCTGTCCGCCGCTGCCTGGAATCCCACGTTGGCCTGTGCGTCCACTTCCTTCTGCTGTGAAACAAAGCACCACAAGCCCCCGGCTTAAAACGGGGCACGCGTGTCGCCTCGCAGCCTGCGCGGGGGCGGGGGGCGCCCAGGCACAGCTGAGCTGGGCTCCCACGGGGCTGTGACCCGGGGTCTCATCTGAAGGTGCAGCCCGGGGAGGGGTCCCTGCCAAGCTCAGGTGGGCCTTGTCAGGATGCAGCTCCTGCCGGTGGTGGGAGAGAGGGCTCGGCTTTTGCTGGCTGTCAGTGGAGGCCACCCTCACTTACTTGCCTCTCACGGGCAGCTCACAGCAGGACAGGAGAGCAGGCTCTCCTCCCTGCACCGGGGCTACCATCTTGCGTAACATAATCACACGCGTGTGATCATGCACGTCCCGTCACCTTCACTGTATCCTTTGTGCCTGTAAGTGTGTCACAGGTCCTGACCACGCTCGAGGGGCCGGGGCCACGCTGCCCGCGGACACCGGGAGGCGGGGGTGGGCCCCGGCATCTGTTTCCCGTGGTCTGTGTCATGGAGCTTTGAACGAGCTCATGCTGTGGTGCTTCTGCACAGGCCTCGCGCCTGTTCAGGAACACCTGCAGGACCGCCGCTC